CATTTTGGATTTCTGACTTCCAGGAGTGTAAGATAATACGTTGTGTTGTTTTAAATTGCTAAGTGGTAATTTTGTTACAGTAGTAAGAGGAAAATAATAGAGTCTCTGGTGCTCTGTTTTCTTACTGTGTATAAGGAATTCTGGTAATAAAAATTTTGTGAAAAAATGAAACAAAAATGAAAGCCAACTGATAATGTAAGCAATGGAATTGAATATATAATGTAAAGACAGAAAAATAAAGTGATTAATTACCTAATAGAGATAATTACTTTATCATCTAATAGTGATTACATCATCCTGAAAAAGAAATTTTTGATACATTAAGGAGGAGAATGCTGAATTTGGTATTTTAGATCTATGATATAAACCTTTCCTCAATAAAGAAATAAGAAAAACATGTCATAAAATTTTTTCAACAAGTGCTCTAGCCAAAGCAAAATAGTCACAAGTGAAAGATAAAATGTAGTAAAAGTTGAAAAGGTCATTTATGAGGATAGACTCAGGAAGCATGTGACTCTTGATGGATATGCAATATGAGAAAAAGCAATGGGATAGAAATCTGTAAAAACATATTCATGATTAAAAAAAATCACAGAGGGGCGCCTGGGTGGCTCAGTTGGTTAAGCGACTGCCTTCGGCTCAGGTCATGATCCTGGAGTCCTGGGATCGAGTCGCACATCAGGCTCCCTGCTTGGCAGGCAGTCTGCTTCTCCCTCTGACACTCCTCCCTCTCATGCTCTCTGTCTCTCATTCTCTCTCTCGCAAATAAATAAAATCTTAAAAAAAAAAAAAATCACAGAGACTCTCGTGCAGCCTTTGTTTTCAACTTAACTTTTTATCAATGCATATAAACATTTTAAAAAATGTACAGATCAGCTCAATGAATTTTCAGAATTTAATACATGGTGCTCATGTTACCAGCACCCAGAAACAATATTCAGCACTCTAGGAGCTCTCTTTTCTAATCACCCATTTCCAAGGACAACTATTATCTTCACTCCTAACACTATAGATTAGTTTTGCCAAATGCTGATTTATCAGTGGATTCATACAGGATCTACTCTTTTGTGTCTGGCTTTTTCCCCCCCTCAACTATGTTTGTATGATTTGATCATACTGTTGAATATAATTATAATTTGCTCATTCTCATTTCTGGCAGTATTTCATGATATGAATATTCCATAATTTATTTAAACTTCATATTATTGATGGGCATTTGGATAGTTTGTTTTGATTATCAAATAAATAGTGCTGTTATAAACATTTTATATCTTTGGTGTACAGAAACATGCACATTTCTGTAAGGGATGTACCTGGGAATCGTAGACATGCCAGGTTAAAAGTCTGTATACGTTCAGTTTTAGTAGATATTGGCAGCTATCCAAAATGGTTGTACTAATTTAAACTCCCACCAGCATGTCAGCCTTTTATTCTAAGAAAATGTAGGTTTCAATTTTTTTAAGTTTTTTGTCTGTTTCAAGTTTTTATTTGAATTTCAGTTAGTTAACATACAGTGCAATATTAGCTTCAGGTGTACAATATAGTGATTCAACAATTCCATACATTACCCAGTGCTCATCACAAGTGCATTCCTTAATCCCCATCACCTATTTCACCCATCCCCCCACCCACCTCCCTTCTGGTAACCATCAGTTTGTTCTTTATAGTTGAGTCTGTTTCTTGGTTTGCCTTGCTCTTTTCTTCCCCTTTGCTCATTTGTTTTGTTTCTTAAATTCCACATATGAATGATATCATACAGTATTTGTCTTTCTCTGATTGAACTTATTTCACTTAGCATAAAACTCTCTAGCTCCATCTATACTGTTGCAAATGGCAGGATTTCATTCTTTTTTATGGCTAAGTAATATTCCATTGTGTGTGTGTGTGTGTATAGATGTATATATATGTGTGTATATATACATATGTATATATATGTGTGTGTGTGTGTATATATATATATATATACTACTTCTTTCTTATCCATTCATCAGTCAATGGACACTTGGGCTGTTTTCATAATTTGTCTATTGTACATGCATATATCCCTTTGAGTTAGTATTTTTGCATTCTTTGGGTAAATACCTAGTAGTGCAACTGCTAGATCATAGGGTAATTTTATGTTTAACTTTTTGAGGCACCTCATGCTGTTTTCCACAGTGGCTGCACCAGTTTGCATTCCCACCAACAGTACAAGAGGGTTCCATTTTCTCCACATCCTTGCCAACACCTGTTGTTTCTTGTGTTGTTGATTTTAGTCATTTTGACAGGTGTGAGGTGCCTTTGGAATTGTCAATATTAATTATAAAGTTGTATTCAGTATAATGCAAAAAAAATGAAGTGAAATAACTGGAAACTGAAGAAATAGAAATTTTTTTGCAGAGGATAAGATTTTATACGCAGAAAACCCAAAAGTATGTACAGATAAACTATGGATCGAATTAAATTAATTAAACAAATTAAAAGGCAAATTATAATTCATTAGCAATAGTCTGAAAATGAAATTTAAAGTATTTCTAATAACACTCTGAAAACGCCAAATGCCGAGGAAAAACAATAAAATATGTACAAGATTTATATGCTGAAATATAAAATATACTGAGATAAGTTACCAAAATCCTAAATAAGTAGGGAGATATGCCTTTTTCATGAGTTGGATGACTCAATAAAGTTAAGATGACAATAATCCTAAAACTTACCTATTGATCCTTGCCTGGTCATGGCAAGAGTAAAGGGATTCTTCCTATAATATTAATTTTTTTTAGATAATGTTGGGTAGAAGTCAAATCAATGTTTGCCTCTATAATAACAGGACTATAATTAAAGACTAGAAAAAAATCCAATTTTATGTATCTATAAAATTGATTCAGTATTATTTTACTGGTAGCTAAAATCCCTAAAAATTATTCATTGTAAATTTAAGAGTAAAAGATATATCTAAACTGTATCAGGTGAAGATTTATGTTAGACAAAAAGAATTTTTCTCTCTTTTGTGAACTCATATATTTTTATAAGAGAAAAGGGATTTTTAATTGATTAAAGATACAGCACATATTAAAACCATTGGAAATACAAATAAAATCCTATGGAAACACACATGTCTACTAGTCTATGCAACCACACAGAGAATACATAGAATTCTATTTCTGACAAATAGGAATATATCTTTGTTTTCAAGTCACTAGGTACCATTTATAATATTTTGCTATGTATCATTCATTATATAATAGAAACAATTCAATAACTTCCAAACTCCAAATATGATACAAGCCACAGTCTTTAACATAAAACAAAAAAGTAGACATTAATAACTAAAATATAAACACAAAAGACTTTGCCATTAAAAGGCACTATCTCAGAAGACTTTTGGGTAAAACAGAAACCAAAATCGCAACTACATTCTGGATATGTTCTATCTCTTGGTCAACATGGTGATTTCATGTATACGTGTGTGTGTGCCTAGCTGGGTTCTTCCCATAGGAAGTTCCATGGACTTCCTATGTTTCCTATTTGTATTCTCCCCTTACAACTATGATTGTTTCATTATTTCTTAGAAGTTTTTGTTAGAAAGTTGGATTATAACTTATTTCTGCTGTGTTCCATTTTTTAATTGCTGGGTTAAAAATTTCATGTTTTTGTTAACTTTTTTCTATTGAGTATTAAAAATCTGTATTAGTTTGCTAGGGCTGTCATAACAAAAATGCTATAGGCTGGAGGACCTCAACAACAGAAATTTATTTCATCATAGTTCTGGAGGCTGGAAGTCCAAGATCAAGGTACCATCAGGTTTGATTTCTCGTAAGGCCTCTCTCCTTGGCTTACAAATGGCTAACTTTTTGCTGTGTCCTCACATGGCCTTTTCTCTGTGAATACATATCCCTGGTGTCTCCCTATTCTAAGGACACCAGTCTTATTAGATTAGGGCTCATTCAAATGATCTCATTTAACCTAATTGCCTATTTAAAGTCCTATATTGAAATGTAGTCACATTCTGAGGTGTACTGGGGGTTAGAACATCAAAATGTGAATTTTGGGGGACACAATACAGTCTAGAATAGGTCAGTAGGAAAGTTGTCCTGTTCTTCATCACATTTTTTCATATGGTATCTTGGCATGAATGCTGTGTCCATTCCCTTTTTATTTCTTATATTAGAATTAGTTGGATTTTTCTCTATAATTAGGAGACTCTTGACTGTGTGTGTTGACTGAGTGGGGGTTGGTTTCTCAGGGCTGTTTTCTAGTCTTTACCTCTCAAGGGCTCCCTTCTTAAAATATGAAACATTTTCTTTTAGAAATGGTTTGGTTGCTAAGAATTGGTATAAAACAGTTTTAAAAATCAGTCAAAATTTGTATCAAAAGATTTACAAGAAGAACTATTTGAAAATAGCGTCTGGTAGTCCATAAGAGTAAAGCAGTCTTAAAAAAAAAAAAGTCTTGGGAAGGTCACTCCGGAATATGAAACTATATGTTAGTTTTAAACTCAAGTACCTAAATCTCTAGCTAAATGCTCTAGGATAGAACTTTACTTTCCTTCAGCCTTTCAGTCCTATCACTCCCACCTACACATATACCATGATTCAAAAAACAACTTTTCCTTGATTAGTGATTGATTGTATTTCTGCAAGGAACTCAGTTAGCTCTAGAATTTAACCAGTATTATTTGCCATAAAAAGGTCAGTAGCATTCCAAGGAAACTTAAACTATTTACCTTCCAAATATAAATATATATAGTATAACTTTATTTTTATGGAAATTCAATTTTCTATAATAATTCCATTGTCTATAAAATTATTTGGCTTCTAAAGCCAATAACAGATTAATTTTGTTATAGCAAAACTTTCAGAAGAAAATAAATAATTATTTTTTTAAAACACAGGCATCAATATGGCATGTTTTGTAAGGCAAAGAATTACCAATTTTTTTAGCTGGAGTAAATAAGATACTGTATACGAATAGTTTTAGGTATCAAAATAATGATCAATATGTAAATGATATACTCATACCTGACAACCAGAGAAAAATATTATTGCCCAGATCCTCTTTAAATTCATCATTAAAAAAATTACTCGATTCTGGAAATGCTTCCTGGAATGTTGCATAGATGGCCTGTGCCAAACAGTCAGGATACACCTACCAAAAATAGAGTCATATTAGAATAATTTTATATTTTATATAGTATATGTCAACTACCAAAGAAATTATTATTAAGTATGTTAAAATACGTGTCCCTTTTTTCTTATAGCTTGCATTTGGCCACTTATAACTTCTTTGTACCCCTAATTGAGGGACATGAACAAAGAAGAGTTGAAAATAAAGTCAATTTGGCTATTTGTTCACATTTTAGAAAATTTAATTTGGATAAAAAGATGAAGTTAACAATTAAGATAAAGTTTGATGATTCTATTTTAAGTTTTGATGATTATTTCATTTAGAAAATTTAATTTGGATAAAGGATGAAGTTAACAAGATTATGTTTGATGATTATATTTTAAGATAAAGTTTGATGATTATTTCATTTAACCTTGGTATTGTTATCCTCTTTTAGAAAGTGACATATACAGATCATTATAATAAAAAGTATATTTATGTATTTTTTAATTAAAATATAATTGACATATAACACTGTGTAAGTTTAAGGTATACAACATGTTGATTTGATACACTTACATATTGCAATACGATTACCACTATAGCATTAACTAACACCTCTATCACCTCACATAATTATCATTCTGTGTGTATGTGTGTGTGTGTGTGTGGTAAGAGTAGCAAGCATATTTTTATTTATTTATTTATTTATTTATTTTTACTTTTTAATTTTATTTTAAAGATTTTATTTATTTATTTGACAGAGAGAGTGAGAGAGCACAAGCAGGGGGAACAGTAGAGCGAGAGGGAGAAGCAGACTCCCTGCTGAGTAGGGAGCCCGATGCAGGGCTCGATCCCAGGACCCTGAGATCATGACCTGAACCGAAGGTAGATGCTTAACCATCTGAGCCACCCAGGCGTCCCGCAAGCATATTTTTAAATAACTTAAGTCTGTTTAGGTGAGTTAATATATTGCAGTTACTACTGTATTGTTTACATATGAAAACTATGATCGGATATCAACAAATATATGGTTCTACCATTATTCTATTAGACTTAAAATCCCTAAACTACTAAATTCCTCTTAGGAAGTAACTAAACATAAAAGTTACATTTTTCTTTAAATTTTTTTAAAAAATTTTTATTTATTATTCTGGTACTCAGCAACCAAATAAATATCTAAAATCACATTTAGCCCTTAATATTAAATGTAAAATTTTGCAATCTAAGTGTCCCTTAGAGGTCACTGTCCCAATCCTTGGGAGTGTGTAAATGTTCATTTATACAGCAAAAGGGCTTTGCAGATTTCATTAAGTTAAAGATCTTAAAATGGGGAGATTATATTGGATTATCCAGTGGGCCTTAATTGCAATCACAAATGTCTTTATAAGAGGAAGGCTATGGAAATTTTTACTACAGAAGAGAAGAAGGCAATGGGATGGCAGAGAAAAGAGAGTAGAATAATATGACCAGAATCCAAGAAATGCTGGCAGCCACCAGAAGCTAGAAAAGGCAAGAAATGGATTCTCCTTTAGGGCCTCTTAAAGAAATTGGCCCTGTTGATACCTTGATTTTAGTCCTGGAAGACTCATTTTTGGACTTCTGGCTTCTATAACTCTAAAACAATGAATTTTTATTGCCTTAAAAGTCACTAAATTTGTAATAATTTGTTATAGCAACAATAAGAAACTAATACAGTCATCTACTCCAGGTGGTAAGTGATAATATTTGCTGATAAGTGATAATATTCTTTGAAGAACTCCATGATTTTTTTTGGTGGTGGTGGGGGGAATGCTTTAACATATTTGTATATTTAATTTTACTGAAATGAATCATGAACATTTTTACTACCAGGAACAATCATATATTTTGGTATAAAAAATCATACTATTAAAATTAAAAGGTTGAACAAGGTGAATAAGAGGAAATTCTAAAAGCTTTCTGTGAATATCTCATCTTCATGATTAAGGATCAAGTGTCAAATTGTGTTGGGAAAATTTCTGAAGGTCTATCATTGTATGACACTGGAAGAAAGTGAAGTAAAAGTCACACTAAATATGTTTAGATTCAGCTAATTTGTACTGAATAGTGGGATATGACGATGACTTTAAAATTCTTAAAAATTAATAAATTTCTCTTTGTTAGGTCCAAGGTAAATCAGATGAGCAAGCAGTAACAAAACCCTGACTTCTTTGAATGAGTTAAAAATAATGGAAATTTGTCAATAAGAGATAAGACTTTATTTCTACTTAAACAGCTCTGGGGGAGATAGATGTATAGCAAGGTGTCCTCATTCTCAAGCATAAATGGGAAGTATTAAAAGAAGACTGAACCCAGGCCAAGGGGTCAAATCACCAAGATGTACATCTTATTCTCAAAGAGGCTTTGAATCTTGATTAAACAACTTCTTATTTCTCCTCAGAAAAAGCCACAAAAAATAGGGACCCAGAAGAAAATCAAGTCGTGATTTGAGAAAGGTTATAAATATAACATCTATCAAAAGGCATATCCATCCCAGAGGAGAACATTTGGACCAAAAGTGTAGGGCTATAAATTGGAGAATGGGGGATATGCAATGGTGCCAGTACTTTCTTTGCCCACTTTAAATAGGCCTGTTATCCTTTTCTCAAGAGCATTATGTTAAAGCATGCTTGATTTCATCAAACCATGTGGGTAGGCTAGGCTCATTCACCACAAAAGGATAGACTAAGTAAAAGATTATGGATAGGAGAAACAGCTGTTTTTGTCATTTCTAAACAATTTGCCAAAAATCCTAACCATTAACTAGCTTTTATATGGAAATAAGAAAAAACATTTCAAAATTAGCAGAGAAAATCCTAGTCCATCTTTCAGAACACCACTATTCTACAAAATGACAATTTATGAATCACAGTTCTAATCAAGCTCTTCCAGCTATGGAACTGAGAGACTAAATGTGTTGCCAAGATCACCCAGGTAATTAGTAGCAGATTCTGAACATGAGACCAAGTCTTATTCCCAGTCCACTACTGGTTTCCTTTTATAGACACTGCACTTTGAGTAAGAAAGATAGGTGAAGACTGAACATATTGTCTGGCAATGTAAGTTTGTTTATATTTTCATTGTGAAGGATATTTTACTGTTTTTAAGTTTGTTTTACCCAAGAAAACAGTTATCAACTCCAAAATATGAATGTATATCTGATTTACAGATGTCAACACAACAAAGCATCTGAATGTGACTTCTGCTTTGAGGTGCTGGATGTTTAAATTTAAAAGTATGTAATGAAATTCCTACACATTTTATTTTTCTTTTATTTTTATTATTTTTTTAAATACTGTATTATTTGTTTCAGGGGTACAGATCTGTGATTCAACAGTCTTACACAATTCACAGCACTCACCATAGCACATACCCTCCCCAATGTCCATCACCCAGCCACCCCATTCCTCCCAACCCCCTTCACTCCAGCAACCCTCAGTTTGTTTCCTGAGATTAAGAGTCTCTTACTGTGGGGCGCCTGGGTGGCTCAGTTGTTAAGTGTCTGCTTTCAGCTCAGGTCATGATCCCAGTATCCTGGGATCAAGCCCCGCATCGGGCTCCCTGCTCTGAGGGAAGCCTGCTTCTCCCTCTCCCACTCCTCCAGCTTGTGTTCCCACTCTCCCTGTCTCTCTCTCTGTCAAATAAACAAATAAAATCTTAACAACAACAACAAAAAGAGTCTCTTATGGTTTGTCTCCCTCTCTGGTTTTATCTTGTTTCATTTTCCCCTCCCTTCCCCTATGATCCTCTGCCTTGTTTCTCAAATTCTTCATGTAAGTGAGATCATATGATAATTGTTTTTCTCTGATTGATTGATTTCGCTTAGCATAATACCTTCTAGTTCCATCCATGTCGTTGCAAAAGGCAAGATTTTGGTTTCTTGATGGCTACATAATATTCCAGTGTGTGTGTGTGTGTGTGTGTGTATTTATCACATCTTCTTTATCCATTCATCTGTTGATGGACATCTAGGCTCTTTCCATAGTTTGGCTATTGTGGACATTGCTGCTATAAACACTGGGGTGCAGGTGCCCCTTCAGATCACTACACTTGTATCTTTGGGGTAAATACCCAGTAGTGCAATTGCTGAGTCATAGGATAGCTCTATTTTCAACTTTTTTGAGGAACTTCTGTACTGCTTTCCCGAGTGGTTGCACCAGCTTGCATTCCCACCAACAGTGTAGGAGGGTTCCCCTTTCTCCGCATCCCCACCAACATCTGTCGTTTCCTGACTTAACTCTAGCCATTCTGACTAGGGTTAAGTCAGGTATCTGACTAGGTATCTCATTGAGGTTTTGATTTGGATTTCCCTGATGCTGAGTGATGCTGAGCACTTTTTCATGTGCCTGTTGGCCATTTGGATGTCTTCTTTGCAGATGTCTGTTCATGTCTTCTGCCCATTTCTTGATTGGATTCTTTGTTCTTTGGGTGTTGAGTTTGATAAGTTCGATACTAGCCCTTTATCTGATATGTCATTTGCCAATACCTTCTCCCATTCTATCGGTTGGCTTTTGGTTTTGTTGACTGTTCCTTTACTGTGCAAAAGCTTTTCATCTTGATGAAGTCCCAATAGTTCATTTTTGCCCTTGCTTCCCTTGCCTTTGGCGATGTTTCTAGGAAGAAATTGCTGCGCCTGAGGGCAAAAAGGTTGCTACCTGTGTTCTCCTCTAGGATTTTGATGGGTTCCTGTCTCACATTTAGGTCTTTCATCCATTTTGAGTCTATTTTTGTGTATGGTGTTATGTGTCTGTTTTTGTGCCAGTACCCTACTGTCTTGATGATTACAGCTCTTGATGATTACAGAAAAATGATAATTTTATAGGTAAACAAAAAACCAAGAATATACACAGAATAAGATAGTGGTTTTCAAATTATCAATATGCAAACAAAATACCTATACCACACTAAGGAGATTCTGTAAGACTTTTAGGCAATGGAATACAATATAATGAGGGGGAAACATAACTTTTAAAACATGACCATTACTTATTTTACTTCAGGAAATTTGCTTTCAAAGTAACAAAATATGTTCTAATAGGTGTTTAAATAAAATGACTATTTTTAAAATTTCATTTGTTCTAAAAATGCTTAGTGTAACCAGTTAATTTCTATGTTTACCTGAAGGAATGCATCTTTTCGACTTGTAGGGATGCTCATGAAAAGTATCACATAGCTTTCTGAAATTCTGTCGAACAAGGAATCTTGATTTTCTCTGTCAGGCTTAAAAAATAAAACATGTTTGAAATTAAAAACATAAATATTACAATTTAAAGTTGGAATTTGTACACATAATGTCAGTAATTTTATTTATTCTTAAAAGGCAGATCAGTTGTTGCAGTGAGAATGAGCATGGGTTTGGTACCATGCAGAGCTGAATTTGAATACTGGCTTTATTATTCATTAGTTGCCTTACCCTGGGCTAGTTAATCAGTCTTAGTTTCTTCATCTGCCAAATGTATGTAAAATATACATATGTAGTAAAATAAGAACAAGAATCATGTTTAGTTTGGCTTTGTAATTCAAGCACTTAGCACAGTGCCTGGCACACAGAAAGCACACATTTGATGAGTTAATGAAGGTTCCTGCATTAAAGCTGGCATGTAGAGGCAATCAATGATTATTACTTTCTCTTGTCCTATATCTACTCCAACTCTATCATTATCAGTAACTCAGTATGAAATTAAAGCACTTACTAGGATGAGACAACCACAGCCAGAACTAGTAAAATTGTGACATGATGGCTAAACTAAGACACGGTAAATATGTTGTAAGAAGAAAAAAATGTATAGATAATAATAATGTCAATATTATAGTAAAGTCCTGAGAGGATGAGCTTGGGAAGATGATATAGTAGGGATTCCTGAGCTCACCCCATCCACATTTACAGCTAGGTTATCATCCATATCCAAGTTAGTAAACCAGAGCTCAATTTGAAGACTGGCAGAACAAACTCTACAACTAAATTTAGAGAAGAAATTGCCTCTGAAACATTAGGAAGGTCAGAAAGATAGAGAGAGACTGCCCTCAGGAGGGAGGGAGCTGCTTGCCTGAAGAGGGCAGAGAAATGGGCCCTCACAACAGGCAGCTCACACAGGGAAAACTAATCTCCATAACATTTGGCTTTAAAAACTAAAAGGGCTGAATTCCTCCTGTTTGATAACCAGTGCTTTAAAAGTCACCTGACTCAGCACTGGGTGAGCCAGGAGGTCAAGTGATAGCTGAGTCATCACCCTTAAAGGGACAGCAGCCTGTGCAAAGAGGCAACATAAAAATGACAGTTTACACAATGCTGGGGGCAAACGGGAAACAAATCTGTTCATGCTGACTTCAGATGTGTTGGTAGACTTCTCCAAAAATGAGGGAGCTGGCAGGCGCCTTTTCCTTCCCCACTCCCCAGCATAAATACAAAACCACCTGCAGGAGGCAAGGCTATAAAGACACTTATAGCCTTGGCCTAGGGCTCAGGGCAAATTTTGTTAAAGCTGCATGTGTGCCCTGTCCAGCTGCCAGGTGCACAACTGCTGCTGTGTGCCACACCCAGCCACCACACCATGCCTAGCTGCATGCCCCCAGCCACCACGCCATGCGTAGCTGCATGCCCCTGGCCACCATCACATGCTGGGCTCAGCCTTATGCTCCCGGCTGCCCTGGCACACAGTTCCCAGGTAAAGCAGCATGTTGGGGGATCCAGCATAGGCCTAGTGGCCCAATGCAAATCTTGCTAACACTGCTGCCCCACTTCCAAGTTCCCCTTCAGGCAAGTCCCCTCAGAACTGGCTTGCCTGAGTCCCATTAACACCACGGAGAGGAAGCACAGCCCACAACAGGCAGAGTCAGTACAGATGACTGCACAGAAAGGAAATGTGACTCAAACACAACAGCAGGTTATAAGCAAAACACATAGGATACTCTCCTTAAGTGCCAGGTTCTGGTGAACAGGGTACACTACACTGCAGTGCACTCTAGGGTCTCCCCTTCATAAAGTCACTACTTTCAAGAGCAGAAGACATAGCTGACTTTCTTAACACAGAGAAACAGACACACAGAGGTAGATAAGTGAGAAGACAGAGAAATTTATCCCAAATGAAAGAACAGGACAAGGCCATAACCAGAGATCTAAGCAAAGCAGATATAAGTAACACACCTGATGAAGCATTTAAAACAATGATCATAAGGATACTCACTGGAATTGAGAAAAGAGTGGAAGATATGAGTGAGAGCCTTAACACAGAGATAAGAAATAACATAGTGGAGATAAAGGGCTCAATAAATGAAATGAGAAACATGCTTGATGGAATGAATAGCAGGATGTCAGAAGCAGAGGAATGAATTAATGACAGAGAAGACAGATTAATGGAAAGTAATCAAGCTTAACAAAAGAAAGAAAAAATTTATGCAAAACTAGAAAAGACTTGGGAACTCAATGACTCCATCAAATGCAAAATATTTGTATTATAGGAGTCCCAAAAAAAGAGAGAGAAAAGAGGCAGAAAATTTATTTGAAGAAATAATAGTTGAAAACTTCCCTAATCTGGGGAAGGAAACAGATGTCCAGATCCAGGAGACACTAAGAACTCCTATCAAAATCAATAAAAGCAGACCCACACCAGACATATTGTAATTAATTTTGCAAAATATAGTTGTTGAAAAACAAATCTTAAAAGCAGCAAGACAAAAGAAGTCAGTAACTTACAAAGGAAAACCCATAAAGTTAGCAGGAAATTTTACAACAGAAACTTTTTAAGCCAGAAGAAGGGAGTGGCATGATATATTCAAAGTGCTGAATGGGAACAATCTGCAGCCAGGAATACCCTATCCAACAAGACTATCATTCAGAGTATAAGGAGAGATAAAGAGTTTCCCAGACAAACCAAAACTAAAGGAGTTTGTGACCACTAAATCAGCCCTGCAAGAAATATTAAAGGGAACTCTGAGTGGAAAGGAGAGACCAAAAGTGACAGTGTAACACAAAACAGGGAACACAAAAGTAATAAAAATGAATATTTCTATAAAAAATAGTCAAGGGTATAAAACATGATACAATATATCTAAAATGTGGGTGGAGGGGAGGAATAGGTTCAAACTTTAACAACCATCAATTTAATATGGACTGATATATGCAGAAGAGGTTATATGCAAACCTAATGGTAACAATATGCCAAAACAACTAATAAATACACCAAAAATAAAGGGAAAGAAATCCAAATATATCACTAAAAAAATCACCAAAACATGAGAGAAAGACAAGAAAGAATCAGAGAAAATCTTCAAAGACAACCACAAAACAAGTAATGAAATGGCAACAAATGCACATCTATCAATAGTTACTCTAAATTTAAATGGACTAAATGCTCCAGTCAAAATACATAGGGTGACAGAATGGATAAAAAAAATAAGACCCACCTATATGCTGCCTACAAGAGACACATTTTAGACTTAAGGCATCTGCGGATTCAAAGTGAAGGGATGGAGAAACAGCTATTCTGCAAAGGATGTGGATGTCAAAGGAAAGCCAGAGTAGCAATACTTAAATATAGGACAAAATAGACTTTAAAACAAAGGCTGTAACAAGAGGCAAAGAAGGACATGATACAATAATAAAGGAGACAATCCAACAAGAAGATACAACAATTGTAAATATTTATGCACCCAACATAGGAGCATCCAAATACATAAAATAGTTAATAACAAACATAAAGGAACTAATCAGTAATATAATAGTAGTAGAAGACTTTAACACCCCACTTATATCAATGGACAGATCATATAGACAGAAAAGCAACAAGGAAAAAATAGCTTTGAATGATGTACTGGAACAGATGGGTTTAACAGATATAGTCAGAACATCCCATCCTAAAACAGCAGAATACAGATTCTTTTCAAGTGCAAACAGAATATTCTCCAGAATAGATAACATATTAGCCCAGAAAACCAGCCTCAACAAATTTAAGAAGATTGAAGTCATACCATACATCTTTTCTGATCACAATGCTATGAGAATAGAAGTCAACCACAAGAAAAAATCTAGAAAGACCACAAATAAATGGAGGTTAAATAGCATGCTACTAAACAATGAATGGATCAACCAGGAAATAAAATAAGAAATAAAAAAAGTACAAGGAAACAAATGAAAATGAAAACACAGCAGTCCAAAAACCTTGGGATGCAACGAAAGTGTTTCTAAGAAGGAAGTTTATAGCAATACAGTCCTATCTCAAGAGACAAGAAAAATCTCAAATAAATAAACAAACCTTACACCTAAAGGAGCTAGAAAAAAAACAACAAACAAAATCTAAAACCAGCAGAAGGAAGGAAATATAAAGATTAGAGCAGAAATAAATGATACAGAAACTAAAAAAAAAAAAAAAAAAAGAACAGGTCAATGAAATCAGGAGCTGATTCTTTGGGAAAAAAAAAATCAATAAAATTAATAAACTTCTTCTTTGCTGATTTGGATGCCTTTTATTTCTTTTTGTTGTCTGATTGCTGAGGCTAGGACTTCTAGTACTATGTTGAATAGCAGTGGTAATAATGGACATCCCCGCTGTGTTCCTGACCTTGGGGGAAAAGGTCTCATTTTTTTTCCCATTAAGAATGGTATTCGCTGTGGGTTTTTCATAGATGGCTTTTATGATATTGAAGTATGTACCTCAATCCCTAGCACTGTGAAGAGTTTTAATCAAGAAAGGATGCTGTACTTTGTCAAAAGCTTTTTCTGCATCTATTGAGAGGATCATATGATTCTTGTTCTTTCTTTTGTT